TACAAAAAACCCTAGCGCCATCAAAAAGGGCACATTCGCTGTTTAGTAGATATATTCCCTAGTTTTGAGTCATTCTCCATATACATGTGCTAGGTTCCTGATAGTTTTGATTTTCAACAGGTCATGCCTCAAGCCATTTCGCAAACTCATTCCTACTATTTGTCTTTTTTCAGGGGCACCCAACGAGAATATAGTTCAAAAACCACTTAAACATAGCATTGTTAAACGTATTTTAGTATTTAAACGGTGGATATGGGCATATTTTTATCCCCTATAAATTTTTCATCTGTTCGGATTTCCTAGCTGAAAGTCTAGTGATCAGAAAATTATAGGGATCAAAACTTACCTGTTCGAAAATTTCAGCCAGAAGAAAGGCTCCCGAACATTCTAGGTGACCTTTTATGGTAAAAATCCGTTGAAAACGGGCAATTTTACCATTTCTTAGATGTTCGAAAATCCTAGGAGAGACGGGCAAGCAAGAAATTTTACAACAAATGTTCCGAAAATTCTAGATCTCAAATCGTCTTCCGAACAGATATTTTTCCGAAAATTGTCGTTGGGTGCCCCTGTTTTTTCACTTACCGACTGGAAACCACTGTGATTCTCATCTTGGGACCTGTTGACTTTAGCTTTGAACTGAATCGAAACTGAAGCGTGCGTACCACGTCGGATTCCCGGATTCCTTCGTGTATCTGCTGCCTTAGGATTTATGAAAAAAATTTGTATTTGTTACCTGGCGGTAAAGACATAAAAGTCGATGGAATTGCCTGCCTTTATCGAAAACACCAGAACGCTGCTCTCTGTTCTGACACGATACCTGGACGATTATAACCCTCTATCTAACTTACTGTGATTTTGGAATGTAAATACTGTCAATGGCAAATCAAGATTTAAACAATATCACAACAATGAAATCAAATGAACGTTTATGCGAACAACAGACGGATTAAGATTAAGTAATCATGAACGGTTAATAAGTCTACATACATACATACATAACCCTTATTAAAGTGTGTAATCGTTCTAGCGCCTATTGTCATTATTGGCACTAATAGCCCTTATGCATGTTTACGTCACACAAGCAAATTTCACCACCAAGCCTCGTTTTCAAATTTAAAAAAAATAAGCGAAGTTTCACAGAAATGAATTCCCAAGGCAGTAGAGTTGAAAAGAATACCCACGCACAAAAAGTGCAAATGCAAAAAATTTTGTTCACAAACGAGGCTTGTTGGTGAAATTTACTCGTCTGACGTAATCATGCATAGGGGCTAATTGGGGACACCTTTAAAACTAAATTACATCATTAAAAGAAACTAATTAAGTACTATAAAACATATTTAAAAAAGCCGGAAATTAACACTATTCAAGCTAAGTACTCTTTTACCCTTTAAAGCTAAGTTCTAAATTTACAATATAAAAAACTAAATGCTTATATCAGCTCGGACGCTAAAATGAAAAAGGAAATATGGGTTTTAGCGTCCGAGCTCATATATGCATTTAGTTTTTTATATTAGATAAAAAATATCAAAAACTAAACGTATATATGAGCTCGGATGCCAGAATCACCGTGAATGGACACATTTTTGCTGCTTTTTTTTCATTATGTTCTAAAGACATGTTTCTTTAGCGCTTCAGTTGAATCTTTTCTATTGTACAGGTCAGAGAGTTGGACATTGACTACTACACCGGAAAAACAACTTGATAGCTGCTACACAAGGCAGGTGGCGGATTAGCCTGCGTAGCAAGCGTTTCCAATCGAGTTATTGCGCGAAAGTTAGAGCGGGAGCATTCCCTTTTTGTTTGCTCACGTCCCAACTTTTCTCGACGAACTCGCGCGGAAACGCTTGCTACGCAGGCTAGTGGCGAATCCAGGGGAGGGGCCTGGGGGAGCCGGTCCCCCCTCTCCTCAGGGTCTGGATGGCCGGGCCTCCCTTCTCAAGGTCCAGCTGGATCTGGCACTGAAGGCTGCTACTTGCTGCTCTAAACATAAGCCGGAGAGATCATATATTTAACAAGAAGCTCTACGGGATATGCCCCCAATTTCAACACATCTAGTTAATATATTAATTTACAATGCTCGAAATATATTTCAGCTTGCTTTGACTTTCGCGACGAATTATTAACAAAGTAGTTTAATTGGCCAGTGATTAAATTTTAGTTCTTATTCTTCAAACATAATAATGAATAGCTTTTGCAATACTGTATGTACTTGTATGGTCCTGCAAATAAAGTTTGTTGTTTTTGTCAACAAGTCTCCAGATACGTCGGCGGCAATTTAGTGGTCACTGTTGGAGAAGTTAGACTGAGACTGTTTCCCAAAAATTACTTTTGGATCCAAAACACGACAGACTCTCAAGGGGGCGTTCAGGAACAGCATTTTTTGACCAACTAGAGATTGAAGCAGTATCTTGCACTCGTGTCCTGGCCAACAAACGAAAAAGGGACACACTTATAAAATCAGTGCGGATGGGCCCGAAATACAGTGGTAATCGTAGATGGATGTTCAAAAGACGTTTTAAGGTTTAGTGTTCATTACCTTAGAATAACACCTTGGTGACTCAACAACGTTGTGTGCATAAAAAAGGCGAATTATGAGGTCAATCAGCAAGCAAATCGAGCCGAGCGGGGTCTGAGGACCGTCATTACCCCGCTCGGCTCGCGTCTTTCTAAAGGCTTGTGTATAGTAGAAAGTGCATTTAGCTTATACAGCTAGCTCACAGGCACACCACTCAAATGCTTAGAAACAAATAAATCAGATGCAACATAACAGTTTAAAAACCCCAACTGGTAGGACGCAGGCAGCTGGCCATTTACAAGCGTGGCCGAGGATTTGAACTTGGGACGACCGAGAACAAATCCAGCAAGTGGCCAGAGCGGGAATCGAACCCGGGACCATCGGATTGCGAGTCCGACGCGCTGACCACTAGGCCACGCTCCCTCCATTTCTATGCGCTCGGCTCTCGTTCGTCCCATTATTTGCCCCCTTTTCCCACTGCTAAGCCTACTCCCAGAGTAAAACAATACGTGCGGGTGAGGAGAAGATAATTTTATGTTCCTTTGGTGTGGGTTCAAAGGAAAGATTACTCCTTACGCTTTTTCCCCCTCCCTCTATCTCGAAGTGAAAGGAAAGATATCCCATTTATAAATGCAGTTATCGGCGTCTGCGTGATACATAATCTTTTGCAACTTACCGGACGGTATAGTTTAAGAGTGATTTTACTTACCGTATTTATTAAATTAAACGCCGCGGAGTTTATTAAATTTTTCGTGATTCGAGTGTGGCATTGAAGTATACTTACTTTCAACTCAAAAAAATTGTTATCAATAAAAGCGAGTTTCCAGTGCTTGGTTAAGCTGAATTACCGTATAGTGTTTTCGTGTTTCAGATTATATCAGGCTTTGAGCTTCGAATATACTGAACTTAAAATATTGCTACAATCAAGGAAAATATTTTTGGGAGGCCTGCTTAAACTTGATTATTACATCACTTGGTTTTTGAGTCTATTATTGGGATAATGAAGCGGCGTTTATTCAAGGGCGGTGTTTAGGTTTCTGCTTTTACATGTAAAATGCGGTCAGGTGATTAGATCCCATCGACCGTAGCCCTTTCCTCCACTCATGAAATTTACACAAGGTAGAACTGTTTTCTGCTTTTATATCACAATCAGATGATATTTCGAGCTAGAAATGTTCATGAAAGTGCAAGTCTCTTCAATTTGAAATAAAAGAAACAGTTGGCACGAAAGATAGTAGGATTCGAACCCACGACCCAGATGGGCCAGTCTACTACGACAACCACTAGACCACTGAGGAATTGCTAGATGGAGATGAAATAATTTCTAAAAGTGCATATAGCATCGACCCCAGCCTTAAAAAAATACCCCAACCAGTTTCGAAACAGTGTTTAACCCTAATCAGGTAGAGGCAGTGGTTAACCCTAATCTGTAAAAGGCCGCGCTCAACCCTAATACAACGTTGTGTAAATTTCATGAGGTGTCCGAAGGGGCTACGGTCGATGGGACCTAATGATAACCGTAAAATGCGGCGTTTAATCGAATAAATACGGTAACCCTAGAACTACCGTCTAACAATTATTGCTAAAAAGGTAGACATAAACAAACAAACAAACAAAGAACGAAGTTAGTGTCGTGTTAATGCATAGTAATCCACAGTAGTTGTGTTCCAAAAAAAGGAAAACAAGCAAACAAAAAACAAGGCAGAGGTGACGTGGTTCACCGCTTTAGTAGTTTTCAATTGACCGCAGGCTCAGGTCCTTTTTTTTCACGAGGATTGCTTATTGCAAAAGTTGAATTTGAATTACTTGCTTTGGCTAAACCTTTATATTATATGGGTCCCGTGATTACAAACTATTCTGCGAAGAAGTGAAAGTACCAGAAAATCCTTTTTCTTCAGCAGCCGGATTACGCAAACATACTAGAAAATTTTTAATGTATTTTTTAAAATTATTTTCATTTGAAAAAGATATGATAAATACTATTGGATGATTTTATTCGTTTTTAACCTCCTCACAAATATCTTATTTATCGATTCTATCCATATTACAACTGGAAATTTTTTTTAATCGAGAAGAGACAAATTAGTTGTAGGTCCCATCAGCCAGCACCTCTTCTCTAAACTTACAACTCAGTTTGTCCTGTGCATTTGTTTCCATCATTTTCCACTAAGGCTTTGAGCCCAGCAGGACAGTTATTTGCTGAAATATGTAAGGAGACACTTTGTAGAAGGTAAGAAGGGAGTGTTGGTCTAATCTAACAGTAATACGTATGCAGCTTTGAGTTTTTCTTTTCATGAAACAAATGTTTCATGTCTTTAAGGAATGTGTTCCTTGTCATTTATTTGCATTTAGCCAGTTCGTTTTCTGCTATTTTCTATAGCGGACGATAGGAAAACTTATCAGGTCTTTCTAGGGGAACTGTCACTAGCTGTAACAGTACAGATAGCATCTTGGGAAAACTATTGCGTGACATGTTGTACGTGACATGGTCTACTTCCGCTTAGGTTGGAGTGGACTCGCAAGCGAAAGATTTGAGCACGGAAGTGACGAGTTCCCAGTTCGATTGGTGACACTTTGCAGTGAAGTGGTAAACGTCGCTTGAAAACATATCATCGCCTGTGAATGAATCAGGGAGCAGGCAAAAGAGCCAGTTAAAATGCGTTGTACATGTACATGTGTCCAGTTGGACTCTAATATGACAAAATGAAGCGACGATATTCACTGTATTTTAGTCAGTGATTTATTTGGTCGACGGAGACTCTGTTTCGGTTTCATACATCTTGCCTCCACTTAAATGAGTAGAGAAGTATCAGAAAAAAACAGCAAGGTAAGTTTTACCATACAGAATAACATCAACTTGGTATGAACAGCACTTCAGCCTTATAGTAGTCAGCTGGAGTAACTTTACTGTAGCGATATGCACGGAAGCCGGAAAGAGTCTCAACTCTCAACAATTATAAATGCCCGGCTGCTGTCAGTGAATCCTTTTAAAACTTTCTGCGAAATCCCTTTCCCTAACCTCTTGAAAGTGTTCTACCTTCAGTTATAATATTCAAGCCAAGCGAGCGGGAAAACCGCCCAGAATTGCTTTGCACCAGAAACTTCGATGTCCCTGGGGAGAAAATGAAAGTGCGAAAGTGGCGAGTGAAAAGCTAGGGAGTTGTTATTTATTCGTTTGTCTTCCTCTCTATATTCTTATTGATTCTTATCGTCCCCTGTTAAGCTAGCATATCCGAGTACCTTGGCGCATTCGAGATCAAGTGGGGTACTTTATGAAGGTGTATCTATGACAAAACTAAATAACCTGAAAGTGAAAAGGGTTAAGTGAAATCTGAAATTGATACAGAATCAAAGCTAGTAAAAAAGAGACCACGGTAAGAGTAAGAGGAAGAAAAACTCGAAGAAATACTAAAAAGGCCAGCCTCGTTCCCAGTTATCCCCGGCGATTTCGGATGTGACGTCATCGGTTCCAAGCCTCCTCTGGTGACTCGAATAGCGCGAGCTGACCTGACTACGAGGCTGTAAAAAAGCCACTGTCGTATAGGTATAATGCAGAAAGGTATCACGCAAAAGGCATAAAGCAAAAAGGTATCAGGAACTTGTGAGTTATGCTTTTTAGCGTGATGCCTCTTTGTGTGATGCCTTCCTGCGTGACGCCGTTCTGCTTGATGCCTTTATGTGTGATGTCTTTCTGCGTGATGACTTTCTGCGTTATACCTTTTAGCGTGATTCCTTTCAACGTGATGCCTTTTTGACGATTTCTCGCGTAACGTAGCGTTACAACATTGTTACATTATTTCAAATGGCTGCAATACTGTTCCAACATTTGAACCCTCTGCTGAGCTGAAATAGATGTTGCAAATCGTCACGTGTAACATCATCTTAAAGGCGATGTTTCGCGCGAGATGATTTGTAACGTCCTTTTTTAGCGCAACACAGCATTGCAACATTGTTGCGACATTGTTTTTAAATCGTTACAGCGTTGTTCCAACATTGCAACGCTGTTGTTGAATTGCCTTTTTAGTTCGCGAGATACTTGTTGATAACTGTACCGGATAACGTCAAGAATAACGGGATTGTTGTCGTTATAAACGAAGCTGTAAAAAAGGACCTCTTGGGTAATGACTTTAGGGTGAATATGTTGTTTCAAATTTGTTTTAGATCACATAGCCGAGGGTAGCATGGCTTCAAAAGCATATGATGAAAGGTATTCAAACAGTGGCTGCCCACTGAACCAGCTTGACCTGTTTATAGCGGAACTAGCTGACACAAAGGCAAGTTTCCCGGACGGTGAAAACACTCACATTATCCGCGAAGAGCTAAATCAGATTATAGAAGGTACTTTGCTGGACCTTTCTGGTAAGTACCGACTGTTTCGAAATGCTGTTGTCCAATTGGGAGGAAGCATGGTAGAGGGAACCAAGATTGGACAACCAGATGAGTTTGACTACGTTTTTGTTTTACCTTCGTTGCAAGAACAGTCGGTGTGGACAAATGGTGAGCCTTTTTATGCCGATGAGTACAACATGAAAATTCAGTCGACGAAGCTAATTTTGAAAATGAAAGACGTCCCTTTTATTGATGACATTTTATGCCCTGAATGGTGCGACCAGGACGAAAACGAGCAGAGAAGAAGTCAGCAACTTATTTTTAAAGACGGTAAAAGTCCTTCGAGGGATGAAATCGCCGCCATGGTATCTGTAGCGATTTATCGATCTTTGCAATCACTGGTCGAGAAATTCCCAAAGTGGAAACATGTCGCCCGATTGAAATGCCCTTCTGGCAGGACATACCTTCAAATTCTTAAGTTTACTGACAATAATGAATCAGAAACTTTGATATCGGTTGACATTTGCTTAGCCATCCAGATTCCCTACCGTTCGCCGAGCTCTGAACATCAACATTTGCAACTTCTGTTTGAATTCTGGTCTATCAATACTATTTCATGCTCAAGGAGATCAGAGACCCCTTGGGAAACGTCAACGCTGAAATCTCTTCCGATTAACTCGTCGGAGAAACGCTGCTATCGTGTTCTAAAATATCTCATTCAAACTTTTCTTGAATCACATTTCGACATGTACACAATGGAATACAAGGCAGTTATAGAAACGTACACACTAAAGACGTTGATCCTGAAAGGTATGGTAGAAAGTAAAAAGAAATGGGGGTTGCAACGTCTGGGCCAAACGGCCTTAGAGGTCCTTGATCTGATAAGGCAAGATTTGGCAACTGTGAAAAGCAAGATGACGAGCTCTGACCCAATGGAAGATCATCCTTTAAAGGTTTCTATGGATTACTCTTTGCACCCAGTATCAGGGGAGCCAGCCCTGTTTCCAAGATCGAAATTGTACCATTCTCGTAAAGACTTAAACCCGGTATTCCAACGGCCAGAAGCTATTGAAGACCAAGTTACAACCATCATCGAACTACTACTCATGGTGAGGGATACAGAAGAGGGGAGACAACACATGTTGTCGCAAATTGAGGCAGTCGAGAGGCTTAAAATTCTTCTAAAGGATAGTACCTGCCAAATTCCATTGATGGAAACACTGAAAACCCGAGAGGAAAGTACCAAAAGTGGTGTTTATAACAATTTTTTGTTGATTTGGCATGTTGTCGAGAGAGAAGATTTCAAGGCCTTCATGAGAAAGAGCAAGTTTGGTATTCCAGTCCAACCAGATGGAAAACAGGATGATTGCATAGTGTTTCCTAAGAGGTTTCCTGTCTTCGAACTTCTTAACTGTTCTTTGTTCAAGAAAGAAGCTCGTGAAGAAGAAGGAATTGAAATAATGGAGATGGATGTATTCGATCATGGCGATTGGAAGCAAGTGGTTTGCTGGAATGTTAACGATTCCGTTGGCTTAAAGTCGATTATACCAGGGGAGCTTTGCTCGTTCTGTGCTTCTCAGAAGTCGTAAACGTTAATAAAACAGCTATTTTTTGTTCATCATATCTCTTTCTTACCTTCTCTTCTAACTAAGATTGAGAGGGTGATGGAAGAGTTGCAAATATCCCCAAATACTTGTATGAGATAACAGAACCAGACCCAGGCAACAGTGTTTGCTTATGCTTAAATCATGATTTTTGACCTTCAGCTGACACTTAGCCCTAGCATACAGGGAGTACTTTTCACAAAATTATGGAAGATCCAAGAAATATTAGACCGTCTTTATGTTTAATTTGTAAAAAGAATAGATGCTACGATAGATAGCATTGCGAAAAAGAACAAAATAGTTATTGATTAGCAATGGTGTTCTTGTTTGGACACGTAAGAGTGACTACAGTATTCACTAATTCAGTATTTTACTTGTTTATAGATGTTTCTCTAAAACATATCTATTGTAAAACACTGACTTGCTTGATCTCATAAGAAGCTACAATCATGAACAAAAATTCCTGGGATAAACTTGCATTTTGTGGGACTTTCTTCAGTTCACACATGTCCAAGCTCACCCAGCCCACAAATAACGTTGGATACTTTTATCCAGTGGGGAAGGGAGAACGAACAGTAATTTTTGAGTAAGACTCACTGTTTTATGAGGGCACCCCAAAAATTACAGAAAAAAAATGGATACTGCATTAAGCTGCATTGCATACTGCATAACTATCCCAAGGACTTTTGTCCACTGTAGCAAGAGAGGTTAAACCTCTTAAGTTTTATCATTGCCTGTCTATTTTTGTGAGTTCCCTTTGTGGGCACATTGACTTCGTAACACCAAATGGATTTTAAGGTCCCGTCCTTACGAATCCCGCTATTTTTTAAACATATTTTTTTTTACACTAGCATGAGCAAGTTTACTCCAGCTTCGTCTGGACCGAAACAGCCGATTCGTCAGTGTAAAAACAGGGGCGGATCTAGGGAGAGGGTGCCGGGGGTGCGCACCCCTCCACCCCCCCTCCTGAGATGACCTGTGGTTTTCTAATACAACTGGTATTCTGCAAAAAAAAAAACTATGTGGTTTATTGGTGTTGAAGTAGAGCAAAAGACGAGTGCACCCGCTCCTAAAAAAAATCCTGGATCCGCCTCTGAAAAAGAAGAAGTGAGCAGCAGTTTAAAAGAATCCAGATTCGTGTGCACAGAGTCTTAATATTATCCAAAAATATTTTCCAGTAGTCATGTTAATGATTCCTTAATTTATTGCTACTTCAACATAACAGCATTTAAAACGCTAAAAACGATGAAGGGATATTTAATTAGTCATTATAAGTGAACACATCAAATAAAGTACTTACTTGCATACAAAATGAAATTCATGTGTTTGTGGAGTGTCCCTGAATCTTGGGCAGCAAGCAATAGACCTTTTAGTTTGTATGTTTTGTTTTCCCATTTCAGACCACGCGACGATACCACAGAATCCCAAACGTATGTCGTCCTATTCACGTCTATCCCCCTGCATATGTATGCATAGCCTGTTCCAGGCTCCGAGATACGTGAGATAGTTGGGTCCTTATTCACGATACCTGCCAGCTTTGCACTCGCTTAAGGACTGATGGGATAAAGGCAATGACACGTGGTTTCTCAGGGGGCAAACAAGTGAAAAACATTGCCAATGTAAGAAATCGTGGTTGAGTTTGTTTATTTTAGACAACAGGAAATGAAGAACTTCTCATCTTAAAGACGATAATGTCAAAATCATGGGTGGAAGTGATCATTGTTAATCTAGACTTTTGTGTGCAGTAGCGACCGTAGATGTCCTCCTAGCAGGCAGTAAAGACGTAAATCTTGCCAAAACTTGATATGTACATTTTGCATGACTAGGAAATCGTCGTCTCGTTTTGATAGAATGAACAAACTCGACCGTGATTACTCATATTGGCAGACTTTATCACTTGTTTGCCCCCTGAAAGACAACGTGACACAGCTTTTATCCCATCGATCCTAGGGCGGGTACAAAGATGGCGGGTATCGTGAATAAGGTCTATTGAGAATGCCCGAACTTGAAAGTAAAACCGGAGGAAACTGGGGAGGACATCACTTGGTCTGAATTGGGAAATCAAAACATACAAGCTAACAGGGTCTATTGGAGATTGGATATAGTTATCCATTATTGCTCAGCAACAAAACACTTTAAAATATTCAGTAGGCATTTTGTCCACTGAGTTGAATAAGCTTCTTTCTTTCGGTAAAATGATGTCTTTTAGGAGTTCTTAGTCTTAGCTACGAGCAATCGGACGCATCATTCTATTTTTTTTTTTTATTTATTGTTGTATGTTTTTGATTGTATATTATCTATTGATCTCAATTGAAACCATCTTTAAGAGAAGTATCCTCCGTGTGGCACGAAGTTTTTGCGGTTTTAATTTTTGCGATTCATGGTATTTTTTCAGCGATCCCGGGAAAAATAAGTTCCCCAAAATAAAAATGATCGCAAACATTTTTGCTGCAAAAATTTAGTCCAGAGTAACTATTTTCCAATTTAAATTCGCTACACAGAAATACAATACTAAAACATCGTGTCTGTTCAATTACGACTTGTCTCTGTTGTTCAGAAATAACTAAACGGTCTCCAATGAAGTGCTGGTTTTATATATAATAGGGTACGCACACCGTAGAATTGTTTGATATATGTATTTCTTTTGCAAGTAATCGCTGAAGAAATGAAAATACACGTAATGTGTATTAACAATGCTGAGGCCTGGCTTTTCTGAAAATCGCAAAAGTTAACTCCCGGCACGAAATACCTAGCCTGTCTACAGACCCTCTAATTTCTCTTAAAAGTCTACTGAGCGCGCGTGATAAAAATAGGGGCTTTACGATCCAATGACGCGACGGTAACGAGAACGTCAAAAACAACAATAGAGGGGGGAGGTACAGGAGGGTAAATCTCCTTCCTCCCTACTTTTTGGGGCAATTTCTCCCTCCTCCCTAAAAGTAAAAATTGTCGGCGTGCAACACACGACTCCTTCACTTAGTCGTAAAGGAAGTATAATGACTTTCAGAGCTGCGCCTCCATACCAACAAACCACACGAAGAAAACCTAACCACCGTATGTATGCATACAAATATTTTTTATGGAGGGAAAGCGCATATACCTACCCCAGGGGGATTCTCCCTTAAATAAGCCATATAAGTATGTGCCGCCCCAAAGGGTAGGGTTTTTGCGCCGTTTTGGTCTGAAAACGGGTATAGATTTTGCTCGTTGTGGTCTGGCATTGGGTATGGTTTTCGAGGAAACTACGGGAGTCTATGAACGTATTAATCGTTTCAGTTCCAAATAAATCAGAAAGAAGGGAATAAGCAAATACGAAATGGATTTTAAAATATATTGTTTGAACTCTGGTCTAAATTCTACCTCTACCAGGTCTGAGAAGGGGTATGGATTTCTTAGACCGGGCCTGAAAACGGGGGTGGAAAATGACATTTTTTAGTCTGAAATCGTGGAAATAGGGTCAGGATTTGAAGAACCGAGCGGCACACGCCCACCCAAAATTCCCGGGAATATCCCTCTCGGGCACCTACCAAGTATCTGAGAGAAGTACGCTATCTTACATAAAAAGAAAACTCGTTCCAGTTTGATGGTAGCAACTATCTACAGACCCATGGAACAGCCTGGGAACAACGATGGACGCTGCTTGTGCTAACATCTTCATGGCCAGAATAGAAAACCAAATATTGAGAGAGAGTTGTATTGAACCACACCTAGGTCACCAGAGGATTTTTCTTGGGTGCGGCCGGTTGCTTTGGTTTCGGGTGCAGGCCGACATATCTTTGGCCGAAGGCAGAAGTCACTAAGGCGAAGCCGGGAGAAAAACACGAGAAAAAAGGCTTTTCGCGTGGTTCACTATAAAGACTTTACCGTCGGAAACCGCGCATAAAAAGTCTCTTGGTGTCCAGGGTAATTGAACCGCTGTTTTGGAAAAGATATATTGACGATGTGTTTTCCCTATGGAACACAAGTTAAGACAAAATAGAGAGCTTAAAATAATTGAGGAAAAGGCAAATAACTTTCACTCTGCTATCAAATTCACCTCGATTCACCGCTGAGATGTCAGAATGGAGATCACTTTTTTGGCCACAAAAATGTACAATGGGGTTAGATTCAACAAGGAACTAGACGTGCAAATACATTATAAACCAACCAGGAGCCCATGAGCCAACAGAAGCCTTTAACGTACTCGTGTCAACCACCAGGCCTGAAGAAATGCTTTATTAAAGGACAAGCGCTCAGATATCTAAGGACTGATTCCTCTCAAACCACTTCTGAGGAAAATATAAAAAATTTCGAAAATCGCCAGATAGAAAGAGGCAGCAGTGTCCCTATTGTGAGACAGTACCTCTCTGAGTTAAAATTCGCCGACAAGAAAACAGCCCTTCAAAAGAGCAACAAATCTGCGCGTGAAAAACTACTACCCTTTGTTACAGCTTTACTTAAACTGAAGAAAATACTATGGGGAAATAGCACCTTATACAAAACCAACAACGGCTAAGAGAAATCTTTAAGGAGCCTCCCCTCATATCATATCGTAAGGAAAAATCCCTTAGGGGTCTACTAGTTAGAGGGAAGCAGATAGCTTCCTTTACGACTAAGTGCAGGAGTCGTGTGTTGCTACTGTCTTCGCCAAGTTGTAAACCTGGTGACCTGAGATGCGTTAAAAGTTTGATTCCATGCTTTCTCGGTTAAGTCCGACCAAGGGAGTCCCAGGAGACCCAAGGGGATTCCAGTGTACGTCATGTTTCCTGTCCCTCCATCCCTTGTAATGACGCGAGTTAAAGAAAAGCCATTAAGTTATATTCTCATCGATATCTCCCTACTCCCAACATTTCATTTTCTCCCTCCTCCGTACATTTTCGGGCCATTTCTCCCTCCTCCCTATCATGTACCTTTCTCCTCACAATAGGTTTAGTAGGCAAAACAACAACTTTGCAAGTGCATCTCACTTTTTTGCACATTTCTTTGCCGTTTTTCCTTGACTACGATGTGAAATTGTCTAATTTTACTTTTAAGGGAGGACGTAAACAAGCGACGACAAAATTTTATTCCCTTCCTAAACTTGAATACGGTTCTTAGAAATTCAACTCCGGCAGGGTTTGCCTACATTTGACAAAGTAAGTGAGTTGGAATAATCGCGATAAAGACCGAAGGAACGCAAATTCATTTTTAAAGCGTCGTTTTCGCTTCCGTTGCGTCGTCCGATAATAGTGAACTTACGCAACAGGACGGGAGAGGAAAGAAGACGTCAAACCTTGCGTGACAACCGTGACAACAAATTTGTTTGAAATAACTTTTCGCCAATAACTTTTCACTTTCCTTTAAACAGATCTTTTTGTAAAAACCAGAAAATATTAATGCTGAGTGAAGATTACGACATAACATGCAAGTTATAGCCCTGTCACGTTTGTCACACACACAAACATTTTGCCGTCTTCTTCTTCCTGCCGTCCTGTTGCGTAAACTCACTAATATAACAGTGGGGATGGAATAGCGTCTGTCAGACATGCTAAGAAAAACCGATCTGCCCTAATCGTAAAAATTAGTTCCCACAAAACGCCAAAAAATGGGCAATCTGCAAAAATAAACTACCGCAAAAATTTCGTGCCACACCGGAATTGCCATACACAGTAGAGCGCCCTGCTCACCTGGTCACATGATCCCCCATTAGCGCTCCTGTGAGAGAAGATTGGGGTTAGGTTAAGGCCCATGGAGACTCATGGGAAGGGACATTCCATAATACGAGTCTGGGAAAACTTGCTCGGAGGTCGTTGGACGGTTGTAATTGTGCGGTCAATTGTGAAGCTCTGTAAAATCTATCTGCAGCTTTCAATGGTTGTCTATAACAGGAGGGTTTCAAGTGCTGGTGAGTAGCTTTTTAGGTGCAAAACGGTGATGCTTTCTTGTTATTTAGCTCCACGCACGTGGGTTGGAAATTGTGCGCGACGACGGATGATAGTCAAACTGTCACGTACGTGACAGTTTGAAATTTTCGCTATGAAACAGACTTTACCCAACTCGTTAAACTACAGGACAGTGAAAAGTGAATTTTCGTACGGGTATTTGCTGTCTTAGCTGAAAGTTTTACCTGCATTGTCGCCGGAACTTGTATTTGTTGGTGCATAGAGGTGGTGGCGCAGCGTGATCAGGGAGATGGCGGGAACTTAAGCTTAAGTCACGTGGGTTACCCTAACAAACTCACTATTTTAAACAAATTATAAGCTTGGTTATATTTCTAAACAAAAAGTGAAGGTTCTTTTATTAACCAGGAGAGTTTGCTTTCCAGCTGTATTCTAGTTGTAAAAATAGAAAAAAAGTTTTACATTACAACATTAGTTACACTTCACTGTTTACAAAGACGTGACAGAAAATTGCCTTGTGTAAAGCTAAATTTAAACACGATAATAACAAAGCAACTTGTTTTATGCAGCCTGCACAGGGCAGCTACCTAATTTTGTCTTGAAAGTGTCTGAGAACTCAATTTGTCAGGTAGTTTGTTTTGAAGTTTGTGTCGCTGTTTTACCAGTTCCCAGTCCCCACTGTGTAGCACCCTATCCTGCTAAGTAAAATGGCGGCCGAAATGTCTTATTCAAAAATTTTGTGGGCTCTAAGAATGTCAAAATCTATGATTCTTTCTGAACATGCTTTAAAAGGGAATGAGAAGCAGGGTTCACAAATATGCCAAATTTTGCGCATTTTACGCCAAAATTCTTCAGATGACTCCAAAGAGGTTACAGAGGGAGTCACTTCGACTCCAGAAATTTCAGTAACAAACAGGGAGCCACTTCGACTCTAGAAATTTTTAGCGACAAACACAGCTTTGTCCTTGCCTTTTTCGGAACAAATACAATTTATGTTAATGGTAAACATTGTAAACCTTAATCAAATCAGCAAAATTAAAGAATTATACTGCACGACAAAACAGGAAGAGGGTAAATTACGAACAAAGTTTACGCGATGACCGCCATCATGGATTTGGGTGTTCCAGGTCAGCTGACCGCCACAGCTACTTCGTATGTCCCTCACGGTAGTTTATACATGCCAGGACCACGTGCTGGAAAGTCTGAAAATGGCTTTTTTCATTGTGGTACTTGACTCCAAATATTCCAAAATGACTCCAAAATTTGTGAAGCAAAAGTCACAGTGACTCCACTCATCAATAAAATTTGCAAACGCTGGGAAGAAAACTTGTTAAAGAGTTTATTAGCACTCTTGAATCTGCAACCTCTTGGTTAGACAATCGTGAGTTTTATGTACGAGGTTGGCGTTGAGAGTCTAATGCAAGTGTGAGGGATAGTTTAATATTTTCTTTTACACAACCAGTATGTTACTCATTTGCTTGTCTTGTCAGTTGTAAAGTTAAGTATTTTAGGAAGGTAGCAGACGTTTAAGTGAAGATTCGAGGGGAAGACGATGTTCTTTCATGTGTTTCACAGCACTCTCTTTCCATAAGCCCAACCAGTTATCAGCTGTGGATTGTTGTAAATTACAAACACAATGGATGGAATCTTGTGACGAGAAGACAATTAGTTTCAAAGCGCCTTGAACAATCAACTCAGCAGAATCATTTTTAGCAGATAACCTTCCAATTGTAGCTCACTACTTTTTCTAACGAGGTTAATGGAGCAACAAGGCGAACAAACTGAATTACAATTGAGGTCATAATTTTCCCGGCAAAGAGGTGAATGAAACAGCCAATTTGCTCGCTAAGGTGGGCAAACTGAATTAAGGTTTTCCTACTCATTTAAAATACTTGAATTGATCTCATGAAGTAAAAGAATGAATACAACAGAATTTGATATGAACAATTCAGTGACAATTCACTAAATCGAAGATGTTCTCTGAAACCTTTTATTAAATCTGTCCTTATTGTGTATTAGGTAACTTTTGGCTTTTTGGAAGAGAATTTCAAATATCAGATGCCTGTACGAATGGAAGATTCAAATAAGGCAATAGCTCAAGTCATTAAAACATTCCATGGCATGGAGGTAATACTGTAAGTGCAGAACTAAGAGAGGGTATTGTAAATTATGTTCAAAGGAAAGTCATATTGGCAGTCTTGCTGACCAGCTCTATGGAAAATTACTGCTGTTCCACTTTCCACCTGGCATATGGTTGGCATGATTTGCTCTCTGATGCGATTCTTTGACCTCTTTTGAAATTTAAACTTTTTCATTGCAGCTAAATAAAGGTTTATGTTGTTTAATTTTCTCCAAAGTGCCTCCTGGATCTGAATAACTAAACGCAATTTTCCTTTGTCGGTGAATGTGAAGGTTTCCTGCAATGTTCTGTCATGCTGGGCCCAGTGCATTAGTAGTTTTTGCAGGATGTTAAATACGGAAAGATAGTGATGTACATGTAAAGTTCTAAATTTTGAATAATCGATTGCAGCGGAACTAAAAATACCAAAATAACGGTGAATTGCACCGTGACTCAGTCAAGATTGCTCTTTCAGCAATGATTTTTTAAACTCCAGGTTGTTTTTCTAAAGATATGTGACTCTTTAGGCTGGAGAGCATCATTCCTCTCTTGGTAATTACTTTTGAATTAGCTTAACAGTCTTGCAACTGCCGGTTTGATTGACAGATTAGAGACAAGGTCAAGGTCCATCTAGCATGGTAAATTAAGGCGGTCTACACCAAAGGGGTTTTGGGGTGGCTTAACATTTCATGTCTTTGACCTTTGGCCCAAGACGATGAAGCTCCTCTCTGGCCTCAAGTAAAAACCTCTGGTACCCAGAGCTGGGCTGTTAAAAGCTGTGTTAAGATAAGCTAGGGTTAATGCAAAATTTGAATTCAGATATGAAAGCTTTAAAACTAAATTCAGTCTAATTCTTTTTGTCAACAAGTTGATGATTGGATGCTCGTAAAGATAACAGAGAAAGTTATCTGAGAAAATGCTTTTGAACAAGAGAAAAGAAACCAGGGTGAAATAACCCTGGATTAGCACTAATCAGCCTTCTAACAACTGGGCCCTGGGTATGAAAAGATAGGATACGTGAAGAAAAATTAGATGTGCAAAAAGTTGTTTGCCTCTCAATACCATGACATCACACGATCACATCAGCTAGTTTCCCGTCCAGTCTTTACATATCGAGGTTGTTCTATAAGGAAAATTTCAGGTAGCCCTTCGGGCTCCCAAGCATTTTAGCTAGGGCGCATGCCTAGGCCTCCAAGTTGGTCATCCAAGTACATCTGACAAAGACGTATTTTGTACACACGCCAATCCTACTGGCCTGCTTATCACCAAACTTGGTAATTTTAGCTTTTGGGTGCGACAAAAACCCACAGTCATGTTGTCATATGAAACAAAAGTTTTCGTGCCATTCAGATTTAAAACCAGAAACGTGAGCAATGCCACCGAATTCATCAGGTTTTAAAGAGGGAAAAGTAAAAATTTCAGCAGGTTTACCCAAACTTCATTAAGATGTGTGAGTCAAACATAGGAATACTGTGCTTTTTACCAGCAATACTAAACTTGATCAAAAACGATTTCTTAAAACATAAGCAAGCGAGTATTAACATTAACAGCCGACGTTTCGGTATCATCATGACACCATTCTCAAGGCAAAATGAATAAATACAGTCGACTCCTGATAATTCGAACGTTCAAGGGAAACAGAAAAAAGTTCGAGTTATCGGGAGTTCGAGTTATCGAGGGTAAAATTATATAGAAAATGTTCTGAAGGGAAATGAAAATTGCTTTGAGTTAGCAGAAGGTTCAAGTTATAGAGGGTTCGAGTTACCGGGAGTCGACTGTAATGCGAAGATTTGATTTCTACAGTCTCTACAAATCTGCATAATAACAAAGGATCACAAGTTCTTCATTGAATACCTTTGCGCGAATTGAGTCTGCCTGCACGTTTAGGGATGGTTTGAGTTTTTTTATAAAGAGCATCTCCTTAATTAGGCAATCAAATTTGTTAGAACCTTTAGTGAGCACATGAAATTGTTCTGGAAGAAAAGGTGGTACGTCAGAGTTATGTTCACTAAGAGAAATACTAAACTTGAAAATAAATTTTCAAAAGGTGAATTTATCAATGCGGCATGAAATATAAAGTGACGGAGTTTATGCGTCAGATCAAACTCAAGTTCCCGTGAAAAATTCTGTGAAACTGCTGCGCCTGCAAACCTATTGTTTTAATGAAAAATAAGTCATCTTTAATTTTCTTTTCTATATTATCAGTGAATCTTTTAGGATAATTGAGCTTTTAGTGGATACGGTCGAAGCTTAAACCAGCTCTTCTTACCGTGTTTTTATTTTTTTGGGGGGGGGGGAGGGGCACTAAATTTTGCCCATATATGCATGTGTGCGAATTTAGTTTTGATACGTAAAATGCAAAGACAACTGTCAAGACTCAAGGATAATAATTGACTCAATGCCCGCTCTTATAATTGTCTTACCGTTTGCTCTTCCGTTCCCTAAGTTATAGGTTCCTAATTGAAAAAACTAGTTTCTTAACCTACAGTATAAACTGAATCAGAGCAAACGGGGTTCGTATGAGGTATTTACTGAAAAGTCCAAATATTATTTTATATTTTCTACGTTAACTGTAAGTGATACAAAAATGAAAGTAAGGAAGATATGATAAGAAATAAGCACGTTATTCGCAAGTTATTTCGTTAAGTAAAGCTAAAGTGATGATAACGATGACCACGATTATCAAACTAAATTCAAATTTTCTTCTTGTATTTTCAGGCCCTTACACTCGTCCGAAGCCAAGAACAGGTGCGCACTGACCTTTATTTGTTTTGACCTATTAGATGAGTAATTGAACTTCTAAGTAATTGTGAAGTAAAACGTACGAATAAGAAGCGGTTTTGATTGACATTTGGATAAAAAGTGCTGCGCTTACAGGCTTTAGTACATTACAGTGAAAGTGTTGCTTAATTACAAGCAGCAAGAGAAGTTCGCACTCCTAATCTCTAGGCTGCTTTTACGCATGCTTGGCACGTATAAACCCAGCATTCGTTTGGATTTCCACTGAGTATGAATGGAATGCTTAGAACGCAACCTGAGCACGCGCTTTTGTACCTTCTATCACTCCTAATCTGATCACGCACATTTTGACCTTCTACCACATGAAACTTACGCTAAGGACCACCGTTGGAGCAAGAGCGTTGTAAACGTCGATTTGAAGCCTGAAACTCGCCCGCACCATGTAACTTTTGGTTATTACTCCAACTCCAAGTAAAACATGTCACAGGGGGTTCTATTTCTGTACGTGGGCGAAAATTACGGGAGAAAACAAGAAAAGCTAGACGAAAACGAACAAAGAGAGCGCGCATAGCAAAAACCCGAAAATTGAAAAGAAGATTGAAAAGATGCTTACTAAAGTTACGGCTATTGAAAAGAAAACAGGTGCTTGTTGCTAGATGGGTCAGGCGCTTGAAAATGTTGGGGAAAATAAGATGATTGATAGCAGTGAGGAAAGTGAGGATTGTCCTGAGAAAGAGAATTCTAAAAATGAAAACAAGAATTCGTGTTCGCAAATTGAGGCTCAAGCGATGTTATTATTGACTACAAGCAGCCAAAAGACGTGCGCGCATGCTCCGAGCAAGAAGAAGAGCCATTAGGATCCTGCGAATTAGGGCCAGGCGAAGTATGCGAAGATTGCGGTTATTGGCTAGCAGGAGGTTGGCGCGTGCGCGAAAAATCTCCAGATTACGGAGACTAATGCGGTATCGAATGATGGCCAACTTATGAGCAAGGCAACAAGCAGAACGGAGGTGAATGGTAGTATTAGCTAGAAAAAGAATTAAGCTTTTGCGGCGAAAAATTCTTCTTAGACAATAAGCCATTCGAGCAAGATACCGCAGATTACACCAAAGGGCAGCAAGGTTAAGGACTCTCCAGTTTAGAATAAGGGCCCGTCAAAGACGCATGGGTATGCGTCTCATTATTATCAGGAGAGGTCTTGTGAGTATTTCGCAAAAGATATCTTACTACAGACGTTTGCAGCGTTATGCAATATTACAGTGTTTGAAAAAGTTGCAGCAGGCAAGGCATTAATGGACATGCAAGCTGTTTTTGTTAAGTTTGTGCCTACCATATATGGAAAATTAGTTGCAGCATATTAAAAGGCCATTTGACAGTGCATATGTAATCAGACAGTGATAACTTTACTTATCACATTCCACAAAAATATATAGTAAAACAATAGTTTTTACAAATTTCACCTTAAAATAGCAGAGAACAATAACGTGATATCAGAGTTAAACAATAAAAGGAAATGTCCCAACCAGAGTTATACAGTCATGTGGGTTTTTAGACAACAACATTGCAGTAGGGGTTGGGGAGGGGGCTTAATTTCTTTGTTCTGCTTAGAGGAGTATAGTATGGTGCTAAATGAGAAAATAAATGGAACTGTCTCAAGAGTTTTGTCTGAGGTTGTAGCTTGATTGTTTGGCCAAAGCATTTTGACAAGTTCACAATAAAAAGTACCACCACAATCAACTACATTTAGGGTAACAAATAATACAAAAATACATGTAGACATGACCTCACCTTAGTTACGGTTGCTTTGTTAGAAATTCTTTTTAGTGTTGTATGGCTGATCAGAATGGATGGGTTTGTCCCGTCAAGCTTTGAAGGCAACTCATCAGTAAATTCCAATGTCTGGTTATGAGCTTTTTCTTCATCCTTAAATGGCTTACTTCTTCTTAAACTTAAGGTGTTAACTTGTAGTAAATAAAAAGGAAACGTTGTTGGCCTAATGAACCAAAAAAAAGCTCACACTAAACCCAGTCATTCTCTGCTGATAAAAGGACCATGTAGGTCCATGTCTGACCATTTAGCCAAACAAAAGTAATATGCAAAACTTCTAACAAGAATGTTTCATCTGAAAGGCAACATGACAGTATAAGTGACAAAATAATATTCTTGCCAAAAACTCTGTTATTTGAGGAAATACGGTATTTTTGTGTGACCATCTATGTCCACTGAAAGCAATATGTCTCTTGAGTGACTACCTGTTGTGAGCAACCACAGCCACCTTTCTGGGGTGTGATGGTATTCAGGATAGTTTTTCATTGTTTTTAAAAACTCATAAGCGACAACTCATCACAAGGTTTCTCCAGCTAAATAATAGCAGCTTTAAAAATGGATGTTGCACAGCCCTGATATGAACATAAGTTCATCTGCAAAGTGATATTCATTGGCACCGCTGAACCACTCCACAACAGCCCAAGGCTGTGCTCTAAGGAAAATTGAAGGGAGCCCAGTGCTCTGAAACTGTAAAATCTAGGTTGCCCAGCATATGATTTGTATGAAAAATCTGAGATTTTCTTGTCGCCCGAGAGCAAAAGTTAGGTGCCAGGGGCCACCAGGCTCTGCTAGAGCACACCCCTGCAGCCACCTTGGGGGTTGACAGAAGAAAGTGGCTGTTGTGGCATGGGCAGGTGGCCATTATGGGGAGGGAGGGGTGCTTTTAATTTAATTTGATTTAATTTAATTTTTTCCAGGAGTACAACATGTTCATTGTGCCAAGTTCATGCTTACTTCAGCCTATAATATATGGTCATCCAATCATCAATATTGTTTGCTGCGATGTGGTATCAAGTTGCTTGTCAAATGCTTGTGTGGCTGAGCAAAATAAGATTGCTCTTTAGCAAGCCTCAGGTATGTTCTAAGTGAGTTCTAAAAAAGGTTCTCACAAAAACGTGCTGTATTTAAAATCTTAAATGAATTGAAAAAATTGCTGCAATTAATCATTGACTGGCCATACTGATCAAATTTCTATACTTTTTGTCAGTCACTGAATAAACTGGCTGTTGTTGAGAGGTTATCTTAATTTGGAAGTTAGGGATGCATTTTGCTGGCTGTTGCCATTATAGAGACGTTTAAACAAGAGTCAATGTATGGACTGTCGCAGCAGGATTATGAGGCGATAACCTGTTGAGCCAATCAGCTGTAGTTATTTAACAAAAGCAATAAATAACCCTAAAAGTGTGAACTATAAGTAGACCTGGTAAGAGAATGATTTAGTGTTCACCTTTCGATTATAAATGCCTTTGTCTTGAAAGTCAACTCACAATGATGAAATAAGGAATTTAAGTGAAGCTAACGGAATGAAGATCCAAATAACAGACAAACGTTTTTCTTTGAACACAATGCTAAAAACTACATATTACTGGTTAACCTCTTGTGAAAATGTCCAAATACTCAAGCTTCTGTAACGCTTTGAGTTCAACGCAATATTCACTCCTGATGTCTCCAACTAGTTTTGCTGTTTTCCTCTTGGCGCTGCCACGCTGTAGAATTTTTTCAAAGTCCACCGCAACATGTGAATGATTAACATCCATTTTAGACATTTTACAATTTAGAAAAACATTTTTAAGAAAAAAAAGGGCGTTGAAACTGAGAAACCAAAGTTCTCAATGGACACACCAAACAGCAACATTGACAACACGAAAAGCTGCCAGTGAAAGCGCCTCATTCTGCACTTTGTCACCAAAAAAAAATTTCCCGCGGGAGTATTTCTTAGCCACTGAAATACCCATACAGAGGCTCACAATTCTTTATAAATACCTGACACTGGGACATAGCAGGGAATTTAACTTTGGGTTAGTATTAAAACACCTGAGATTTCTTTCCCCCCAGGGAAAGAAGTTTGTTGAAAGCCCTGTGTAGCATGTACATTTGAATATTAAGGCAAATAAAAGTACTTCAGAACGAAATAAACACAACTCAGTTCAGATTTTCTTGATGGTCCTAGACTGTTCACAGTCCCCTATTTTTTTTCCTGAGATCGTTTAGATATACCGCGTCTTACCGTCACGGGTATCTTGATTTTGAAATGTACCGAGGGAGCAGGTGTCGGGGATTATAGCTCTGGGTGGGAGGACGAGAAAAATAGAGGAACTGTAATAACATCACTGCAGCTCACGTTCATGCGTTTGATTGGTCATTAGACAATAATGTTAATTTGCATTGACAACAAGTTTAGTTTAAGTTGCCGACATTGACAAGTCGTTGACAAGTCGACGTTTCCATAAAACATACGCTTTCATACCATAAGGCACATCTTGCGCAAACACGCAAAGGATTTTTGGTATTTTGATTAAGAAAATGTTTTCTTGTGCATGTTTGCTGATTTTATTTGGTGTCTGGCATGTTTTTCATAACCAGCGGAGTTTCTTAATTAATGAATGGTAAAAGGCGTGAAATTCCTGTCACGCCTCCTGAACGCGAGCTGCAGTGATGTTATTACAGTCCCTCTATTTTTCTTATTTCCTCCCAAACCACCCCTGCCCCCTAAGTAGTTTTGACACTCGTGCAAGATGGCAGCCCGTAACACAAAGCCCTCGATCTCGATGATCTTACTGAAAAATAGAGGACTGTGAACAGTCTATGATGGTCCCATCTTTAATTGTTTCAAAGGGGCACAAAACCAAACTCGGTTGAGACACGGTTATTAGTCGTTCCAGATGTGTCTCGGCCGATATATCTTTTCGTTCACCGACACTTCGCCGATAGTTGGTCAATACTTGACCGATGTATCGGTCAGTAATTGGTCGACACTCAGTTGACGGTCGGTTTACACTTAGCACAAACGAGAACTTGGCGTGATGAAGCAGGTCAAAGCCCGTTAATAAAAGATGTGTATTCCTCGCTCTTAAAGCATTTCATGAACTGCCTTTCCTATTCATTATTCGTCCACTTTGGGACTGCGGGAGCAGTCGTTTCCCTCGTCCTTCTTTAAGTATTCTTCAACTGCGGGACCACAGGAGCAGCAGATTCAACTTAGGCTGAGACAGGTGCTGTTCAACAGCTAAAAATCAGATGATCGGTGATGATACAAACTAGAAAAAAAAAGGGTTACCATGTCCTGAGTTTCCCGTGCTCCTCGGTTCGCTTCATAGAGTAATCGCACCTCGCACTGCCACATGTTCTCCCATCGCATGATAACAGTAATTAATGACGTCTTTGCTTAAAAAAAAAGCCATTGGACTCACCTGATAAATTAACACACAACTGATATTCGAACGACAGTTGATCGATATACCACCGACAGTTGACCGATATACCACCGACAGTTCACTGATATACCACCGACAGTTCACCGATATATCACCGACAGTTGACCGATGTATCACCGACATATGACCGATAGTAAGTCGAGGTACGTTACCGAAATATCGACCGATACTCGGCCGATAGTCTATCTCACTATCGACTGACCATCGACCGACTATCGACTGACTATCGACCAACTATCGACCGACTGTTGACCGACTATCGACTGACTGTAGACCGCTATATCGACCGCTATATCGGTCGACATTACCCACAGTAAACAAGATCCGCCAAATCAAGGAAATAGAAAAAGCTACAATTTACTGCAGACAGAGCCATTGCATTTTGTTTAAATGCACTTTCATAACAGGTGCCATTTGCCATGGCATTTGGTCATTTTCACTGGAAGTATGACACCAACCTTACTCTGCTTTATGTATTAAAAAGTGTACTTATTCGGTTCCATTTTCCCCTTAAATAGCTGCTTTATTAGGATCCTAAATAATTTTGTTGCCCGTGGGTACCAGGTACTTTACCCCTATATAATGTGCTAAAAGGTTGTGCTTTCATAAATATGCAGGTTCAGTTCCCTTTTGTTGTATCTTTACTAAAAGGCATCCAGGCATATGTCTTCTATCCCCTTGTTTTATGTGTCAGGTGGAGATAGCAACAACTGGAAATATGTCTGTTTTTGCAGGCTAAACAAACAGTAAACTTTACCAAGATAATCACATGATGATCAAATCTGTTCAAAGAGATGAGGTGCTATCATGCCCAGCAACAATTCAGGTATTTTTAGCAAGTAAACCATTTGCCCCTACGAGTTTTGCTGGAAAAAAGCAAGTTTTGAAGTTAATTGAGGGGCTTAAAATTTTGCTTTCTGCGCATGCCTGAACTTCGAAAGCTAATATTTTGCGTCTGGATCAGAAGGCTGTAAAGTGTACGACCTGTAAACGGCTTTGTGGCAAGTTTTAGCTCTATGTAGCATTGTAGTGACCAGAAAACTGCTCAATTATCCTCAAAACAAGTCTTTCGGCAAAATCTCCAGGGGCGAATGGGCTATTAAATCTGATCACAACTCAAATGTATCTGCATGGACTGTTACAGTTGGCTCAGCAGTGAATGGGTTAATAATCAAGCCTTCTATGTTTTGGCTTTTTCTTACAGTGTACAGTAACATTTGATGGTTGGATCGCACAAGCCAGGGTGCGAAGAAAATCCGTTTGAACCTTGCCGTTCTGGTAAGGTGTTGTCGTTAACATGCACTAGCCCATAATGTCATTTACGTTATTTTGTCATTAGTTTCAACATGCCAACTTTCTTGTGGAATTTTGCCCAACTTCCTCTGATTTAGCAAACATTTTCTTGCTTTTGCCTTTAGAGGTAAAAATGTTCATTGATTTTGAGAGGTATGAAGACACTTCCTTGGGGAAGAAAAGGTGCTGTGACTGGTTAGTTTTCTTTGTACCATGCCCAGCAACAAATCAGGTATTTTTAGCATTTGATATGCAATATGTGCCTTTACATATCTTGGCTTTTTCTTGCTATGTACAATATTTTTGTACTGTATTTTTGTCAAGTTTTGTTTGATGGCAGTTAATGAATGGAGCTCACAAACACATTGTCATTATCCCTGGTTTGCACATGATAACATGGTGGTCAAGAATCAAAGCATTTTTCTCTGCTGAGAACCTTAACTGTAATTTCATGCAAATTCCACGGAAAAGAATGTTATTTTATGGACAGATTCAAAAGATGTAGCTGTCTTGTCATGTGGTTCAAACAAAGAATTACAAGCCTTGTGATTGCGAATTGCATGCACAGTTTTGGTTCTGTACCCAGAGATTGTTTGAACCTATATGGTAATGTGAATCTCCTGCCGACCATTAAGTTGTTAGTTCTCAAAATATTTTGATGCTACCTTAAACACGAAGCAACCTAAGTATCAGCCCAACTAACAGCATAATCAAAGTAAGGTTGGCAATGTTGGAAGGGAAAAAATTCCCAGTTTGTGTGTGAGTAACATTTAGGGCATGAAATTAACTTTTTTCTCAAGAAGAAATCAGGCTCCTAAATTTTCCAAAGTGGTCGCCAAGTCGAAAAAGTTAGTAGCCAATTTTTTTTTCAGAAACAGCAACAACAAAAAAAGCTATATGAAAAATGTATTGTATATTAATGCCAAATTACAAGGTTTCCTAGGTTGAGGAAAACCTGAATGTTTTTTTTCATATCTCTAAAGAATTGCAAACAACAATTCTGGTTATGTACTTAATCAAGAACAAACAGAAACAAACAGTACCAAACTTTTACAGTAAGTTTATCATTTGTTGGATTTATTGTGTTTTCCATCAGCGACCGTCCAATTTGATGATCATGGATGTCCACATATCTCAAAGACTGGCGTATATTACGTGTGCACTGTATTACCAGCCACATATACATGTATGCCAGGAAGTCGGCCTAAAATCATAATATATAGATTTAGCCAGGGCTAAAAGCAAAGCTCTCGATGATATAAAATAGCATAATGATAAGCGGTTAAGGTAATGCTGGAGAACGGTGAAAAACAACAATATGTCTAATTAGCAAAAAA